GTTCTGGAGGGGTTGATGTGGCAAGCGGGGGTCTTGATAGTATAGTATTGCAAGATGAGGGGTCTATGGATGGGGGGTGTGGTGACGTGGTGGTTTGGGGGCTGATCAGTACGAGCGCCCTGCTGATCACAAATCGCGGGGCGGAGCTGCGGGGCAGCAGCGGCGGAAGCGCTGGTGAGCAGCCGGGAGGGCTGAAGCCAGCTCCCGCAGCGGCCGGCGGCCCCCTCGGCCACCTGCCCCTCCCTCCCCACCGCCCAGCCGCCGCTGCTCCACCACCACCGCTCGAAATGCAGGGCCCGCAAGCTTCAGCCCTCACGCACGCCCATGTCCCAACCCTCTTGCCTCTTGCGATGCCTTGCCCCACTCCCAACATCACACCTCACTCATCAACAGCACTCACGCACGCACGCACACACGCATGCACACTATTTATACACACACAGTGTCCGTCAGCGCCGCACCGCAGGGATCTCGATGATGGCGGTCACGACCTCCGGCGCCTTGTCTCCGATGGGGATGTCGTGCCAGGGGTGGCTGGCCTTGTTGGGCAGCGCCCCGCTGGTGTCCAGGCTGCTCTGGCTGGGCACGCGCGCGAGGTTGTTGCCCGACGGCGCGCGGTAGAGCGTCCTGGGGCCCGCGCCCGCGGGGGCGGACGGGGGCTTGGAGGGGGACGCGGCGGCGCCGGGCGCGGGGCCGGGCGGCGGGGAGGCGCCGCGGGGCGGGATGCCTGCAAGGGGGTGGGGCGGCGGGGCGGCGTGAGGCGAGCAGTTGGCGCCGGCCGCCAGGGCAAGCAGGACGGGGCGGCTGCAGCGCTATCGCCGAGCGTGAGGGCGGCTGCGAGACGGATCGTCCATGTCAATGGGGCTGCGCCGCCCGGCAGCAGTCCAGCAGTGCACAGGTCCCAACCACCCGTGCTCACAACCCACCGCTGCCGCTGCTGCCATTGTCGGCCGCCACGGCGTCGCCGTTGCTGCCGGCCTCCTGCGGCCGATTGCATGCGTGCGCGCGTGGCGCCATAAGCTCTACGTATTCGTCATCGCTGTTCAGGTCTGCTTTGGAAGCGTCGTGCTGACTCGAAAAACAACCAGCAGCTGGGTGAGCCTCGCGCGCTGCAAGCCCCACCTTGTGTGCCGCCGCGGCCGCTAGCAGCTCGGCCTCACCATCTCCCAAACCGTCCACGAGCTGCACAAGGGCGTCATTCGAGGGACAGTCTGCCGTCGTGCTGCCGCGCGGCGCGCGGCCATGCGCAATCAAGCTTCAAGCTCCTGCGCTGCGCTTTGCCACATTGCGAGGCTGGTTCGCGGCAGGGCGTCGATCGTGCGCACCTGGAGATCCATATGTCAGCCGGTCGGTTCGTTTCTGGCAGCTGCAGGCGCGTCTGATGAGAGTGCCGCGGACTGGGAGGTGCTCGGCGAGTAGGAGAGCCGCCGCACCGTTACCCCTCAACCAGCCAGTCAATGGGCACTAAGTATCACGTTCAATGTCGTTCGATCCAGTACGCACCAATTCGCGGATGCTGGGATCAGGATCAACGATCGCAGGCTACCAGAGCAGCGCGACAAGAAAAAGTTTCGGAATCAAAGTTGACTATTTATATATTTCGTGGCGTATGCTGGCTGTGCAGTCAAGCCCGCGCTTTGTGCCGGCCAGGTGGCCCTCCTTCTGTTTGGTTCTGCTGCCGACAGTGCAATTAACAAGTACGTTGGCTGTCCGATCGATACACACAGTTCAAACGGACATGAAACTTGTTATGTTGCACGCGCATTTCCTCTGATGCCCCTAGTACCGTCTTATTAGCGTGAGCCTGCTGCAGGGATGTGGGTGCCGCATCAGCAGCAGTCGTCAAACAGGGCGCATGTCTACGGCAATTTGTTGCAGGAGCCGAGCCCTGTCTCGCCCGGCAGACCTGTAGGCCGCACCCGCTCTGACAGCAGCAGCATGCACACGAGTCCTGGCAACAACACCACGGGCACAAGCGGTGTTACCGATGAGGTTTCGATGGCATCTATGGCGGAAGCCAGCGTGCTGCAGCTGTGGGACACCGTCTGGTGAGGGCGCGAGCATCGCGAAGCACCTGCTGCACCCACCCGCGTGCGCCGGCGCACGCCTTTGCGCGCCCAAAGCACGAGCTGCGCTTGCGAAGCGCGGAGTTTGCAGCGCGGTGGGCCACCGCGCCGGATGCGGTCGAGTCCGCCAACCGCCCTCTTGTCCCATGACATCACGCCTTGCGGTCGTCCCCCGGGCGCGCCTCTCGATCACCCCCTGCTCCAAGGTACGGCTCGCCGGGCCCCACCAGCGCAGCGGCCGCCATGATGGCCAAGGCCTGGTACGCCAACGCCGCCGCCACTGGCAGCACGCCCAGCCTATATCAAGACGACCTGCTGGACGGCCCCGTGTCGGCGCTGCTGCCCGAGCCCCCGCCCCCGCTCAATGCGGCGGCCATCGGTGCGCCCCTCGGGCAGGCCGGGGCGCGGCGCGTCGGCGGCGGCGGCGGCAGCAGCAGCGGGAGCGGCGGCGGTGGGAGCGGCGGTGGCAGCGGCGGCGGCGGTGGCGGCGCTGCTGTGCTGGGCGACGGCGGCGAGGCGCTTTACATGGGCGACGCGGCGGCGCACAGCGCACGGCTGTTGCTCACTGCGGCGCCGCACTGGCCGCAGCCACCCGCAGGGCTCGCACACGACGCAGCCCCCTCCGAGGCGGCGGCCGCGGCGTCGCCCACACAGCAGCGGGGCCCGATGTCGATTCGCAGCGGTGAAGATTACCGCGTTGGGGGCGGCGGTGGCGACACGATTGGGGTGCCTGCGGCGCGGCCACTGCTGGGCACCTGGGCTTACCGGCAGTACATGCTCCCGCTCCCCAGCCACAGCAGCCAGCAGCAGCACCAGCAGCAGCAGCGTGGCGGCGGCGCACGGCGCGGCCGCCTGTCGCCGCCCCAGGAGGGCGAGGAGGCCCAGCAGCAGGAGCCGGAGCAGCAGGCGGCGGCTGCCTACGCCCTCGCGTCGTCGGTGGCGCAGCCGATCCCCGGCACGCGCCAGCCGCCGCAGCAGGTTGCCCCTGCGGCCGCGGCCGCCGCGAGCGGCAGTGCCGGCCGCGGCGGCGCGCTCGAGGACGACGAGGAGGCGATAGCGCGCGCGGCGTGGCGCTGGCGCTTCACCAAGCGCTGGCAGATGGAGCAGGCGCGGCAGATCGACCCCGCGGCCTCTGGCGAGGCCGACGGAATGGAGGAGCTTGTCGCCTACCTGGCGGCCTGCGGCCAGGGCTGGGACATGTCCCGGACGCTGTCCGCCGACGGCCTCAGCAACGCCAGCGCGCCCAACATGCTGGGCACGCTCGGCAGCGTGGGGCTGCTGGGGCAGGAGCAGATGCTGGTGGGCGACACCAGCCGCCACGCGTCGTACACGGGGTCCCCCTCGCGCAGGGGCGCGAGCGGCAGCATGCGCGGCGCGGGCG